GCGCCCCGAGCGCGGCATCGTGCCCCGCAAGGGCGGTGCCAGGGACTTACTGGCCTCGGTGTAGACCTGGCCGAAGCGGTAGTAGCACATCTTGTACATGAGGCAGTTGAGGAGCACCGGGGAGCCCTCGCGGTCGACGCGGAACTCGCCCGTGGGGGTGTAGTAGTCGTGCTCCTTGATGTGGCGCCCGGTGTCCGTGCTGCCCCCGATCCGCACCATCCACAGGAACTTGTTGATGTCTGAAAGGCGGAGGGCAAAGAGTCGGGGGGCAAAGAGCGAGGCGTTGAGTTGGGGGGCAAAACCCAAGGAGTTGAGGGGTAAAACCCAAGGAGTTGAGTTGGAGGCCAAAAGTGAAGGGCAGGGTTGAGTTGGGGGACGAAGAGCGAGGGGTTGAGCTGGGAGGCAAAACCCAAGGAGTTGGGGGCCAAGAGCGAGGAGTTGATTTGAGTTGGGGGTCAAGAGCGAGGAGCTGATTTGAGTTGAGTTGGGGGTCAAGAGCGAGGAGTTGATTTGAGTTGAGCTGGGGGCCAAGAGCAAGGAGTTGATTTGAGTTGAGCTGGGGGCCAAGAGCGAGGAGCTGAGTTGAGTTGGGGGCCAAGAGTGAGGAGTTGAGTTGGGAGGCAAAGAGCAAAGAGCAGCATTGGGGGACAAAGAGCAAAGAGTTGGGTTGGGGGCCAAAAGCGAGGAGTTGAGCTGGGGGTCAAAGACCAAGTGAGTTGGGGGTCAAGAGCAAGAGGTTTAGTTGAGCTGGGGGGCAAAGAGTGAAGAGTTGAGGGCCAGGAGCGAGGAGCCGAGCTGAGATGGAGGCCATGAGCGAGGAGTGAGGTGAACTGGGGGCCCAGGGCGAGGGGCCAACTTGGGGGTGAGGAACAAAGGGGCACGCAGCTTTCGGAGCTCCTCTAGGAGCCGTCCCGCAGAAGCCCACGCCACCAGCATCTTGGGGGCCCCACGGACGGGTCGGAGCAAGCTCTTACCGTCAGACGAGTACCCGGTGAGGCCTCCGAAGATCACCAGCACGTAGCTGACGTCCAGCTCCCTCATGATCTCGTAGGCTTTCTCCTCCGTCGACGCCATGGCCTGGAGCGGACCGCGGCGTCAGTC